GTCATAATCGGTATTACACTCAAAACAGGTCGTATTACAGTTTGCAATGCTGCTTCTCGGAATGCATTGACCATCCGAACATTTGCAACCGCAGGCTATACTTCCTCCATCGACAATAGCAAGATTAATTGTTATAACAAGAAACATCATAAATATTAACCAATAATGAAAACGAACCATTTTAGTAATATTCAATAATATTCTTCTTGAATTGAAAATTTTATGATTATTGTAGTATTTATGAGGATATATATATATAACATATCATTCAGAAAAATAAACGCATGACTTGCAAAAAATTGTGACCTCAATTTATATTATGCATTCATGAAGGTGATATACGTAACTATAGATGCGTCATTTTTTCTCCTTGTCATTTTTTGCTCTTATTTGTCATGTAACATCCATCTATATCAGGTGTGCTAAAATATTTGCCACATTTTTTTATTTCGCACATATCCCGGCTTAAATAAATGATACAGGGTGTAGGGTGTGGATGAGTGTGACTGTGGGTGTAGAGAAAAGAATACCACCACATCTACCCCCAACTATTATAGAATAGTATGAATATTGAACAACATAATAGTAAAAGTCCATTTCAAAATGGTAGAAATAGAATTTTTTATTTTTGTTTAAAAAAGAAAATTTTATTATTTAGAAACAACAATGAATATTTGTGAATATGATTCATTTGTAACTAATAAGAATTATTGTGTTTATTTATCAAATTTTGAAGTACCAAATATAATATTTGCAGCAACATTACTTATCACAAAAATGAACAAAATAAACGTGAACAACTTTCGAAACTTCAAGCGAATTCTTATAAATCAAAGTAAAGAAAAATAGTTTAGATAAAAAAAAGGAAATTTATTGTTTTGTTCTTACGTAGCTTAATTGTTGGACAATATTATGCTGCACTTATTAACGCAGATTGATATCGAGCGCGTATATTAGAAATTGCTGGAGATCGTGTTCAGGTTCAATACGTTGATTGGTAAAATTTATTTTTTGTTTTTCTTTATTTCGCAAATGTAATTTTAAATTAAGGGAAATACTGGATGGTGTGATTCAATTCTTGAAATTCGATCATTACTGAATGAGTAAGTTTCCGGAAGTTTAGTTAAATTACGAATTAATCTTCAACTTTCGCTCGGAATTAAACCCTCTAATGCTTCACTAGTACACACTTTTCTCATTTAGATATTACAAAGATCCTGTTTTATGCATAAAATGTGTTTTGGATGGTGTACCAACCCAGAAAAAACCATCTGATGAGCAAGCAAATGCTATTCTTGAAATACTGGGTAAATTAGTTTAATAGAAAAATTGAACTGAAAATTTATTTGATATTTTAGTTTTTGATGTAAAACTTGAAATGACTGTATTACATATTGAAAATGGTCTTCCATATGTACAACCTAATTTAGGTGAACGAAATTTAAATACTGAAATACGTGCAATATTATCACAATCATCATCATCAACTACAACAATAGTAATAAAATCAAACTAAAATATAAAAATAATCTTGTTTTTAAATGGATTCTACAAAAATTAGATAATGAAATAGTTAATTTTGATTCAAATAAACCTCAAATGAATATACCTGAAACTCTTTCTGTACAATTAATAAGAGTTGATCCCGATTCAGAATGTTTTTATGCTTTATTAATACGTGATGATCTTCCAACAATCATCAATGCATTTAAAGGTTGGGATGCTAAAAAACTACCGTTAAGTATTGAACCAAAACCAAATATACCTGTTTGTGCACAATATGAAGGTGATAATCTTTGGCATTGAGCATGGATTAAAAGTGTTGCTAGTATAAAATTCTTTTTTTTTATAAATTGATTTGAAAAGTTTATTTTGTTAGAAAAGAGTTTTCGTGTATATTTAGTTGATTTTGGTAATGAAGAAGTTCTTGCAATTGATCGTCTTAATGAATGTCCAGAGATTTTACGAAATATTTCATGGTAAAGTGTATAAATTAAATTAGTTAATATTAAATTAACGGACGGATGATAAACACTATTTACTTGTAAAAGATTTTGAAACTAATCGACTTGATATGAAAATTCTTTCAAAGAAATCAAGATATTTATTGTGTTGAACTAATCAAAGATGGATAATCTCTTTCGGAATATATGTTTGATTTACGTAAAAAGAAAGAACAACAAACACAAGATGCGTCAATAACTAATGAAGTTTGTTTAATTTAAAATTAAAAATATGTACAATAGGGTGTGGGATGTGAGTGTGGGTGGATGTGGGCGTGGGTGTGGGTGTGGGTGTAAAGGGGAGCCAATATAACAACACTCTCACCGTCTGCGTGATGAGGGAGGGGGAAGGTGCAAATTTTCTATCCTATACACTTTAACACTCCTTTCAAGTCGTGTTTCACAAAAAAGTAAAAGCATCAGTCTATTGGGAGAGAGCAGCTACTCTCGTCTCTGCCTCCTTCCTTTAACTAATAACTGAACGTGTGTTCTCAGACGAGAGTCAATAATAGATTTCAGCACGTCGAGGAGGAATTTGTCACGTCTGAATGTTGCAAATATTCAAATACAGGCGTCCAACATCGCGCAACAGTATAAATTTATTCTCACTAGAAGATAACACATTTGTGACGTTCATTCGGCCAAAAAATGATGATGATACTCTTAACTATGTTTCTTCTCCAGTGTATTGATCTCGGTGAAGCTTCGATTTACTTGTATGATGCCGATGATAGTTTATCGGTTCAGGTGTATGACTGTTTGTACCATGACCCAATCTATTATTGCCGTCGGCCTTTGGAGCCGATCCTATTGCAACGAAATCCTCAAAACTGGGATTGTCATCAAGGTATTCTGTATTCATTTGAATATCTCATGCACAACAATATCACTGTCAACGAAGTATTACATGGATGGAAATCGACACTTGATCGAGCAGAGGAATATGCTCACTATCTGAATTATTCTGAAGAAATCAATGACGCTCAGGAATATATATGCAATTGCACTGTTGAAGAAACTGTTAGTGCGAAATTCGCGGGTGACATCACAAAACTCAACTATCAGGGTGATATTGTCTGTTACAACACATTAAAGTGTGACTTTGGTCTTTTATGTTTGGATTGGAGAGATATTTGTGATGGTCGACAACAATGTATGTTTGGATACGATGAGGAGAACTGCGATAACATCGAGTACAATGAATGTGAATCGAATAAATATCGATGTATGAATGGAATGTGTATTCCAGATGAATATTTTCTTGATGGTGATTTTGACTGTATGGATTTATCAGATGAGAAAGAACGCATGAAAGATGTTGCTTGCCAATTTCGTCCATCTAGCTTTGAATGTGACGATCGACTTTGTCCTCCGTGCCTTCATATATGTAGAGGATATCAGTGTTTGCGTGAATGCTGGTCGTGTAGAGATGGACAGTGTGTTTTGAAAAAGATCTTCTCGCCGGTGCCTAGTACTATCAAAGCGTCTTGTATAAATCGTTGTGATGAATTCTTTTGGTGTGAAACAGTCCAGGAAGAGGGTTTATGGACGTTGGATAATGGAAGATGCTCTGAAAACAAGACATTTGATGAACACATTATCGATGAATACTGTCACTATCTCCGAATATGTCAGTTATCCGAAAATACGAAGCGTGATTGCATTTGCAGAATCAATAATAATAGCTGTACAGAGTTATTTCGAAGGTCTTGCTCATCTTGGAATGTCGCTCACTATCCTAATGGTGGACTGATAGCCCCCTATATATTTGGATATTACGATGAGATCTTTGGGACATCATTATATGAAGCTAGGTGGAAAGTAAATGGTACTATTAAGTGTCGTGGATATCTAGCCAAGTTTCTGTTCAAAGATAATGGACATAAAATTGAAGAGTATGTATGTAACCAAGGATCACTTTGCACATGACCGTTTGGGAAATCCAAAGTTTCAAAACAGGGTTATCATAAGTTCTGTCACAATGATTCTCGAACATTCAACAATCGTTCATATCACTTCATTGATGTTTGCGGTGACACAGAGTCATGTATTTCGGCTTTTCGAATCAAGAACATATTTGACAACTGTTTCCGGGAGGACGAAGACAAGTCGAACGAATTAGTAAACATGTCATGTGCCAATGTTCGATAGCATCGTTTTCGATGCTCAGTCAATCAAGCTACTTGTTTCTATGCTAGTTCACTTGGTGATTCAGATTCTTCATGTAAGAATGCATACGATGACTACTGGCTAGGCACGATCACACCACTCTCACAAATCAACTGCAACCAGCAATCGAAAGTTGGCTGTCGAATTCTTCGCCAGTACATCGAAGCTTCTTGGGATTCTATTCTATTCGATAACAATGACTTGAAAACTACCTCAGCAAGGAATATTCCATTCCGAGCATATCACGATGTGTTTTCGGACTTCGCACCAAGAGAAGATGAAAACACATCGTTGTGTGAATCATTATGGGTATGCCGTTCAGAACAATGGCAATGCCGCAGTGGTCATTGCATCCCTTTCACTTCTGTACTGAACGGGGCGTTCATGGTTCAACAGATGTAATCTTATGAAGAAATTTAACGAAGCATACAGGGGAAGGCACCTTTGGAGTGTTTGTCATCTGACAGGTAAATCTCCATGCTCACCAAGCAACAGTTCCGACTTTCTATCAGTCCAGAAATACTCCATTAATTCAACAGCACTTCAAAATCATCAAGTTAGTTGTCCAAGCAAATGTGATGAGTCCAAAATCATTGATCATTGTTATATATCACTTTGTGAACTCGGGTACGAAGTGAAGTGTTTGTCAATGAGAATGTGTCAAACATTTCCGCATCGATTTCAATATAGCTGTACAAATAGTTCAAATCAGCCGGTCCCCTATCCAATGGCTGATAAAGATGGAGACAGTATTCCATCTAGATATTTCCTGTGTTGGAATGGTGGACGTCTTGCACGACGATGTGATAAATACAAGGAGTGCACTGATGGTGAGAATGAATATATGTGTGGTACACAAGAGTCTTACGCTCAACTACTTCTAAGAAACAATAAATTCGACTTACAAATAACACAAAAACAGCTATACTTACCTCAATGTCCGCCGAATGCAAGTGCCAGAGAGTATCTATTCCCTATGCCGAGAAACGAATCCAACACAAGCATGCTGCTTATCGATCCTTCTCAACGCGATCGTTCGATCTTCCGCTGGTGCAATCGTGGCATCCCCATCATACTATACAATGAATCTATCGCCTGTTTCTGTTCACCTCACTATCATGGTCATCAATGTCAATATCACACAGATCGCATTGCTTTTCTCTTTCATGTTAATTTCACTCATTCAAAGTACAAGATCAACAGTGATACATCCATTGTTAATAAATATTTCATTTTATTTCTCTACGATGATCTCGTGTTGAATACCGATGAATTTCATCTTCGACCTACCAATGATCTAGATCAGCAGAAGAAGAAACAAATCTACCTTCACTATTCTCATTCCAATCAATCCATCCAACGCAAACAACAGCGCTACTTAAATCGATCAAACGTCGTTGATCATCATCTTTATTCGATTCGGATCGAAGCATTTGAGTTGAAGTTAAACGAAAAGCCACAACGCTTCGCTGTTTGGCAGTATCCGATCCATTTTGATTTTCTGCCTGTCTATCGTATTGCCAAAGTTCTTCGCTTTTTCGATACAAACAAGAACTCGAAGAATCCTTGCCAAAAGAACCCATGTGCAACAAATGAAGAATGTTATCAGCTACAAAATCAACCATCTCAGTACAAATGTCTCTGCAAAAGTCGTTACTCTGGTCCGCATTGCACTGATCTAAACCAGCTATGTGTTAAGAATTATTGCTCTTCAAATGCTTTATGTCAACCCAATTATCGTGGATCAACTCAAGACAAACAGTGGCCATACTGCATCTGTCCATTGAATCACATGGGACAGCGATGCCAGTTAAAGCCAAATGCTTGTACAAAGAACCGATGTGCCAACGACGGAATTTGTTTTCAACGATCGATTCCCAATCGGTTTATGCGTGAGTGTACAGATAAGTTTATGGAAGATAGGTGCGAAGAACAGAAACGAGCTGTTCGTTTCCATCTCGAAGAGAAGTCCCGCTTTAACTATCAGGGAAGTGTTGTACAATATTTTCGTATCGATTTTGTGCAATTAGAAGTTCGGTTAGCTCACCAGGATGTGTTTTCTACCTTGCCTTCACAACTCACATATTTGCACGGTGATAAGACAATACCTGAAATTATTCTTCTCCATCTACACTCTATCAACGATGAACAGATCTACCTACTCTCCGTCCAACTGAATCAAATAGAATTCACCGCAAATGTATCGATTCAAGAAGACAACCGATGTCAGAATATTCGTTCATTTTTTTCACTGAATGAAAGTAAGCAAAATTTGTTCTCTGAAAACACAGATAGTGACCAATATTTATTATGCACAGGTATTTCTCGCATCAAATATCATTCTCTCTGTCAGAGCAACTCTCGTCTACTGTGTTTCCACGACGACCAATATCTCTGCATATGCAATGAGAAGGATTTAGGTATGGAATGTTTTCTTTATCAGCCGGAACATGAGAAATTTGATGAATGTAAAGCTAATGCTCAATGCTTGAAAGGTAGCAAGAAGGGAATTGTTTGCATTTGTCCATTGTGTTATTCAGGAAATCGATGCCAATTCAATTTTGAATCATTTTCTTTTACACTCGATCAGTTATTTTTCAAAGATCTTCAGTCACCGTCTTCAAGTGTTAAACA